GAATGGTGGAATGCGGCTCCATCTTGAGCCACAAAGCCTTTTGCCCACAAGCCGCCGCGAGGTAGAAACCAAGGACAAGTCGGCAGAAGTCCTGACACACCTGAAGTTAGATTTAAGCAGGAGTTGCCACAGCTCCACTGAGCCCTCACGGCCAACCCACAGAGCCAGGCACAGCCGCGTGGCCTAAACCAGAATCTATGGATTCGTGCAGTCCAGTTTCTGTCTCGAAACAGATGTTTATGTCAGTACCTTTCCTCTTCCTGGTTCTGGTCCTAACTGTTGGCAAGCATGCGAGCAGTACTCCCTTCCAGGAATGCAGAAGGGGTTCAGGCGGCTTCCAGGTCATGAGAATAGAGGCGTCAGGTTCCTGCAACCCACAAGGCCAGCCTGCACCAGAGGACCCTCCTAGGCCCTTGGCTCCTAAGCATAGAAGGCTGTTTACTTCCATTCAGTCTTAACGTAGCTCAAGGCCTGTCACCAGGAGAGACAACACCTCCAATGAACTCTAAACTGGGTGAGCAGCAGAAGGCGGCCGGCGGTTTTGGCATCCTGCTCCAACACCTGGCAGGCCACTGGGCAGGGCCTCGAGAAGGGGCGGACTTTGCTCTAAGCCCCGCCCCACAGACCACCTGGGCAGCTCTGGCAGGCACCACGGCAACACGAAGCATGCGCACTTGGCAGCACTTAAGTCCCATAGAACATGTTTCCGGAGGTGAGGATCTCGGTGCTTTCTTAAGGCTCCAGGGTAAGAAACATAAAGGGAGGAAAGGAAATGCACAACCAGGCAAACACTCCTAACGTCAACTTCGTCCTGTAAATCTCAAGAAAAACATTCTCCCCCCAACTCACTCAATACTTCCAAGCCTCGACTACTATTTTCCTCAATTCTAACTCTGCCACTTGTGTGCCAACCTATTTCAAATGCCCCCTTCCAGTGCAGTGAGAATTGTAAACGCACTCAGGACATGTAAACCTCCACTTCTACCTCCAAATTGAGTTATATACTCAAACAACTCTGGGAAAGTTTTCTTAACTGTCCTCATTAAACTAGAGTAGCTTGCCTTGTTTTTAAACAAGCATTACCCTGTGGCCCATAAAGTCCTATGCACTTCAGACCTGGATGGTGTCAGCTGAAGCTTCAAAGCTCAAGCTGGTATTACATCACGCTTAAGACAATCTTCAAAATACAACCAAAAACTGGCAGTGAGTACCCCAAAACAAGGGCTTTTACACACCTTCAGCAACTTCAACTCCAACCACTTGCCCACCTTTATTGTATTTAATCACTTCTACCTAACTTTAATACTAGACTACAATAAACATCTTTAAGAACAGAAATATACTCCAAAGCCACAGAGAAACCCTGTCTTGAAAAACAAAAGAACAGAAATATAAACTACATTCTAAATTGTACATCAAGCCCATTTTGGCAGAAAGGTTAAATACCTATTATCTAAATGGAAATAAATAGCATTAATGCCTTTGTCGAAACATTTTTAGGGCATTTAGTCACTTGTTCTTTTGGGGGATTTTTGTTTGATCTCTAAGAGTCTAAGAATGACTTTGAGCTTTTTTTTTTTTTTTTTTTTTTTGGTTTTTTGAGACAGGGTTTCTCTGTGGCTTTGGAGGCTATCTGGAACTAGCTCTTGTAGACTAGGCTGGTCTCGAACTCACAGAGATCTGCCTACCTCTGCCTCCCGAGTGCTGGGATTAAAGGTGCAGCCACCAAGCCCAGCTGACTTTGAGCTTCTGATAATCTAGCTTCCACCACCTTCCAGTGAGTACTGGGACTGCTCACCACCACACCTACTTTTGTGTAGTGCCATGCCTTTGGAAAAACTAAGCAAGCGCTCCACCAACTGAGCTATGTCTCCAGCTCATATACATTTGTTAACGTGTATCAGTGTCGTGTGTGTGTGTGTGTGTGTGTGAGAGAGAGAGAGAGAGAGAGAGAGAGAGAGAGAGAGAGAGAGAGAGAGAGAGAGAGAGAGAGAGAGAGAGAGAGAGAGAGCAGAAGAGAGAGCGAGCAGAGACCAGTAGAGGGCATAGGATATCCTAGAACTGGAGTTTGTTACAAGCCATCATGGAGGTACTGGAAAACAATCCACAAGAGTAGCAACTGCTCTTATCTGTTGAGCCATCTAAGTCCTGCATTCTTTATTTAAAGAAAATAAGGTAGAATACAAAGATTGCTCACCCCTCAATTTCCCTAAAATCCTTAGAAATTACATGTTTATTATAAAGCTATAATGCTGAGGGTATAGATCAGTGATGTGAGGTCTAAACCCCAGGGACACATAGCTAACTGAGGTGCCTCTTTAACCTATCAAAGTGGACCTGGCTGCCAGGTTCTCCCTGCATCCCTCAGTCCCTACCTGTTACAGGGTATGGCTGGCACACCCCACCTCCTACCCTAAATTTCTCCAGTCCAGGAGCTGAGCCACCCTTCAGCCTTCAGCTCATTTTCATTACACACACACACACACACACACACACACACACACACACACACACACACACACACACACACACACAGTCTACCCTTTACTCTCCTGGCTCTCCTCCTCCCCTTCCCTCTCTCCTCACACGGCCTGGCTCAGGGTCATGCTCACTCTGGACTCTCCCAGATACCCCTGCTATGCTCTCCCTTTTATCTACAATAAACCTTCCCCTCCACCATACCTAGGAGCCTCATGTCCTTCCTTTTTAATCTCTTTTTTTAAATTCATCAGGTACCAACAGCCAGAACTGGGCTGCTCTGAGCCAAGCGCTGATCCGCCTCTCCTAAGGTTTGTAGAGATCACTTGTTTCCACTGACTCCTGTCATCATCAATTTGACCCCAAATTCTAGAGTCCGCTCTCTTACTACCCCCCCCCCATGCTCTAACCATGCCTCTCCTTGTCTATGCCATAAATGTATCTCCGACTCCTAGAGCCTTCTCCATCTCCCAAGGCACCCAGCCACCTGGGTACTGGCCTCACATCTCAGCTCTGACCTGCTACATCCGTCTGGTCTCTCTAGCAAAGACACTCACCGTCTCCCTTTCCCCTGCTCGCCCATTATTCTTTACTGGTAAGTGTCACCCCAAACTGCCTGCTTTGTCTATTATTACTCCAAAAACCACACCAGTGTGCCTGGAAGCTCTCGCCCTACTTGAGGCCCCAGTCACATGGGAAGGGACACCTTTCCTCTGGGATTTGGAACACTTTTCTCTCTGACAAGTTTCCCATTCCCCTTGAGGACACCCTTGTCACAAAGGCTCTTTATCCACCTCAGTTCAGCTGCATTCTCTCGCCTCCCCCAGGCACTGCAGTCCACCACTCTCTCTGAGTCCCTAGTTTCGGCTTTCAGCTCATTCCTGGTCTCCTCTCCCCTCTGGAGCTTCCTGCTGTCTCTTCCTTAAGCCCTTCCAGGGCTCCCAGCAATTCTGCAGCTTCTCTAAGCCTGAGCCCACCAGGGCCACTACACACACTCTCTCAGCTCCTCTTGGAGCTTACAAAAATGCCCTCCCGTGGAGTTTCATTTCTCAACATCTAGACTATAAACAAACTTGGCCTCGGTACAGATCAATGGCCAAACATTGGCACACTTGATTTCCAAATCCTCACAACTGCCACAGCATAAACAAATGATCCCCAAATCTCTCTTATCTAAACTACTTCTATTTCCTACTCTTAAAATCTTTAGCTCTACAATTTCTCTTTGCTCTGCTCTCAAAGTCTCTTAAGACTATGCTGTAAATTCTCTCAGGATTTGTAAATTCATTGGGTATAGCTTTTTTTTTAAATGTACAAATCTTGGCTTTAAACTTGTAGCAAAAGGCTTATAATTAAAATCTATACATAGTCAATCTTAATAATTTGCTACAAGTTACTATGCATGTGATTCAACTCTTGTTTAGAACTCTGTACATGAAACTTTTGGTTTGTTTTTTTCAAGACAGGGTTTCTCTGTGTAGCCTTGACTTCTGCTTCCTGAGTACTGGGATTAAAGGTGTGCACCATCACCACCTAGTTGGATTCAACTATTGAATAAAAAGTAAAAAGGGATCTAAAAAAAAATAGATCTTTAAATAACAGCTCCGTGGCTGGCAGTCATCCTTACTAGGGTTAAAAGGTATATGCCATGGGACTTAACCACATCTTATGATGACCAAAAAATATAAACCAACTAAGGCAACACCTGTATTTCTTTTTAGTCCTACTGAGCCCTGTTTCCCCTTTTAGATTAATGAAACAACAACAGGTCTCCAAAATATTTTGGATTGGTATGGATTATGATAATAAAAAATTTTTTTTGGTTTTTCAAGACAGGGTTTCTCTGTGGCTTTGGAGGCTGTCCTGGAACTCGCTTGGTAGTCCAGGCTGGTCTCGAACTCAGAGATCCGCCTGCCTCTGCCTCCCAAGTGCTGGGATTAAAGGCGTGCGCCACCAACGCCCAGCGATAATAAAATTTTAATGTTATAAAAGTTTACTTGGATTAACAAAGCTGACTTAGAGACTTTGCTAACTGTTCGACCCCAGGCTTCTAGAAAACTCAGATAACAATGTGTTTGATAAATAAGGTATATTTGATAATAAGGTCTATAAATTCCTAAGGTCTACTCAGAGTCACAGTAATATCTATCTAGCTTGTCTTGCTCACTTTGTTAAGCTTTAGCTATCTGGATAAACTGAGTCATACAAAAAACTAATAATCCATACAGCTATGCTACAAAAGGATCAGAAAAGTTCCCAGACTTCCTATAACTGTGTTTATGGCTTAAAGCTTTATTTTAATGCTGCCAGGGACACTTTGGAGTTAACTGCTCTACTCTGTCTGGTCAAGTTCCCCAAGTCCTTCTTCACAGGAACATCTCTCAGATGGCGCATGCCTTTAATCCCAGAACTCTGGAGGCAGAGGCAGGCGGATCTCTGTGAGTTTGAGGCCGGCCTGGTCTACAGAGTGAGTTCCAGGACCTCCTCCAAAACAATACAGAGAAACCCTGTCTCGAAAAACCAAACCAAAACAAAACAAAACAAAAAAACTTTAATTTCTGAGCTATTGCTTAAATTTTTTCTTAAAATTCTATATGGCTCTCCGGGCTTGGGCTTAGGTTCCGGCAGCATGGCTAAACGCACCAAGATCGTTGGGAAATACAGGACCCGCTATGGTGCCTCCCTCCAGAAAATGGTGAAGAAAATTGAAATCAGCCAGCATGCCAAGTACACCTGCTCCTTCTGCGGCAAGACTAAGATGAAGAGAGGAGCCGTTGGCATCTGGCACTGTGGTTCCTGCATGAAAACGGTGGCTGTCGGGTCCTGGACGTACAACACAGCTTCTGCAGTCACAGTGAAGTCTGCCATTAGAAGACTGAAGAAACTGAAGGACCAGTAGAAGTGTACCGCCTGAGACCTGCCTAGCCGCTGATAAATGGTTAATCTGCGTAAAAAAAAATTCTCTGTGTATAAATGTTTTACTTGTGTATATGTCTCTGAACCACATGTACATGTGGAGACTGCAGAGGATTTTAGATATCATGCAACTGGAGTGACCCCACACCATGTGGGTGCTAGGACTCAAACCTGGGTCCTATGGAAGATCAGTCAATGCTCTTAACTGCCTGCTAAGCTCTCTCCCCAGCCCCCTTGAGTGACTTTTTAAGTAAAACAAGGATTATTCAGACTTCCTGTGGTGCCACGACAGTTCATCTTGTGGGTAGATGGTATGGTAACTTAGTTGGCTCCTGAGTGATTTAAGGGCATAGGTAGGCAGCACATACAGCATAGACACACTAGATGGGGGACAGCTGATCACAGATAAATGAAACTTCGGTAACTAAAATGAGAGAAATAGGGAAATATCATAATATTTTTTTCCTTTCCCATTTACCAGGAAAAATAAATGTGGTACCCCTTTGTTACAACCACAGTATCTCAAGAAAGTTTTGAGAAAAGTTAAACTGACTAACTCTCAACATCTGAAGGTCTTGCCTTTTCCACTTAAGCTATGTGAACTCTCTGCTGTGTTCTATTATTTAGTGATACAGATAAAATATTGATTTTAGGTATTCTTCACCCCCCCCAACAGGCTGTTTGTAGAACTCTTTATTTTTACAAGAATGTCTAGACACACACAAAGAATCAATAAATTCAAATTCTAAAATGATATGCATGTAATGCTTTTTTAATTTTGATGCATTTCAGACTTCTAGGTTAGAAATGCGCAATTCAAAGTCTATGCAAGTATCCCCAAATCCAAAGAAACACCAGAATTTGAACTATTTTTCTAGGTTCAAGGAGACAAACTGGCCTGGACATTTAGCTCTCTAATGAAACTTGGTGTGTTTATTTTGCTTTTGTGAGGCAGGCAGGGTTTCATGTAGTCCAGAATAGTCTCTAACTCACCATGTAAACTCTTCAACCTTCTGCCACTGTGCTCAGTTTTATGAAGTGCTGTGAGTTCAACTCACAGCTTCATTCATCCTAGGCAAAACCACTACCAACTAAGCTGGATCCGCAGTCAAGTATTTTGACCTCCAGAACAAACAGCCAGCATGCTGACCAGCTCATTCCACAACTGCCTTAAGACATAAATTTAGCAAACAGTGTCCAATATTTCAGTACATTTTGTTTGCAAATTGTGAACTGTCACCAACATGTGACAGTTTACAGATCAGGCTCCTGCCTTAAAAACTTTAATCACTATGATGGTTTTCTATCTTACCAATCCTTCTCATCATCCTTTGTTTACTCCTTTGCTCTTCTAACTCCTGAACTTCAGAGCTGTCCACAGTCACCTTTTCTTACACTGGTAAATTTGTATGATTCTTTAAATTCCCAAGAATTTAATTTGTATCTCTAGATACAGCCTTCACCAGAATCTAGCCAGGTAAATGGATGGAACTAGAAAATAATCATACTGCGTGAGATGACCCGCAAGTCCTCTCTCATCTGAGGCTCCTAGCTTCAAATCTTCATAAAACCTGGAGAAACTGAGAAAGTAGAGGGGACTATGGAGAAGGAGGAAAAGCAACAGGAGACAGATTATAAGTGATTTGGTCAAAGAAATGGAAAAAACAGAGAGGGGGCTTTACCTTTGGAGGAAGAGGGAGATAAACTACAAGAGGGTAAAAATAAAAGGAATGTCAGAAAAATCATAAGGAATCATTTATATCTATTAAAATCACACAAAATTACATATGAATCTATGTATAAATATACATTTATAGCTTAAGTGAAATTTTTCCTTCACAGCTGACAATACTCCCACAAGAGCCATAGCATATCTAACAAAAACTCCAACACCATGCATAAGAATCATTTTAAGTTGTTAGAGTTGCACAACAGACTCCCAAAACATGACTGGCTATTGCTATTGCTACCCTTGGTTGCCTCCCAGAAATGGAAGGTAAGTCCCTATTTTTGAAGACACCATGTACTTTGGACACAAGACCTAGAGGACAGAAAGGAACTAGCTTTCATGGTACCAGACGATGCCATGCAAGCTTCCAAAGGATGAAAGCATCCAATACTCTTACACAGCTATGATGCCTGTGAGTCACAGTAGCCACGGAGCGCAGTGGCATCTACCTTGGCAGTAACCAACAGCTCTCTGAATTTAAGACCCGTTCAACAAGAGGGAAATCATGCCTGGTACTGGAAACCTAGCCAATTACCTTGTGCTAGTAAAACCATGGATCTTGGAGAAGAACCTACAACACCACTTTACTAAACCAACATAATTCCTAATTACATTCTAAGTATTCATCCTTATATACACAGATAAGTAAGCTCACCCCTCATCAAAGGAAATTCTCTTTGCAATAGACAATTATAGAAAGCTAAAACCAACTGACACATCTACAACAAAATCTCTGTACCTAAAGCTCAAGGATCACTGCATTAAGAGGGAAGAGGGAGTGGAAAGATTTAAGAGTCTGCTGTGAAACTGTCTCTCCTAAAAATGTCAGGAGCTACACCCATGAAGTCTCATCAACATGGCTGCCTAAACAAGACCTGAACACGGACACCACCAATGGACATGCTAACATGGAAAGGGGAAACTCACAGGGAGCCTCGATCCCAGAAAAAGAACTACAGGCAAATGGGGGAATGCTGAGAGGAAAAAAAGGTTGTCTCCAGGAAAGAACCCTCCCCCTAATTGGTTATCCAATACCAAGTGATCAACTCTGAGGTCATAGTCATAGTTAGCATTATACAAACTGAGCTTGTTTTATTTATTATATAATACACACAACTAAACAAAGAAAAAGAGGCCATGAGTTTGACAGAGTAAGTAGGGGGTGTGCATAAGAGGGTTGAGGGAGGAAAGAAAAGGGAGAAATGATGTTAATTATAATTATAATTTTTAAAAAATTGTATCTCTAGCCCAAATTTAAAAAAAAGCCTAGCTGTCTCTAAGATCAGCACATGAGAGGAAGAGACGGAAAGGAAGATCAGGAGACTTAAGTCGCCCCTATTTTACATCATATACCTAAAACAACCAGTCAATCTTATTGTCACTCCTTAAAAATCACATAAGAACCCCACCATTCCTCAACACCTCGACACTACCATCTGGCCTAAGACACTATTTTCTCCCCTGGAAGATTATAACATCACCCTAACCCAGTCTTCCTTTCTTCCCATCTTTGTCTCCCACATTCAACCACTAATATGTTCTAAGCACTCATATCACATTATCCCATCCTTTGCTCCATACCGTCCCATGGAGCTCACACATATTGAAAACTAAAATCCTATAAATGGCCTATAAGGCCCTAAACAACATGATGATGCGTCTGAAGTACTCTGTTTCCATCATTTCTTTCTCCTCACTCTTCCATGACAAGGCTAGGTTGTTCCACTGGATCTCTTCTGTCTTCAAACACTTTTCTCCTAGAGTCAAATCTTCATGCATACATTACCTCCTCAATGAGACCAACCCTGGTTCTCTATTTTAAACTGTAACCTAATCTGAGTATGGTGGGGCATGTCTGCAACTCAAGAGGAGATGGAGAGATGGTGGCTCAGTGGTTAAGAGCACTGGCTGTTCTTCCAGAGGATCTAGGCTCAAGTCCCAGCACCCACATAGCAACTCCAGGAGATCCAACACCAACATATATGCAGGCAAAACACCAACGCACATAAAAGTAAAAACAACAACAACAAAAACCAAAACCTTGATGGGGGAGTTCAATCGTGAGGTCAATCCCCAGGACACATACTTTATTTACAGTAGAAGGAAAAGAACTGATTCCTGCAGGGTGTCCTCTTGCTTACACACACATTATCATGCCACATGGACATGTGCACACCCCACACTAAAATGTAGTAAGATTTTTTTTTTTTTTTTTTTTTTTTGGTTTTTACAAGACAGGGTTTCTCTGTATTGTTTTGGAGGCTGTCGGACCAGCCCGGCCTCGAACTCACAGAGATCCGCCTGCCTCTGCCTCCCCAGTGCTGGGATTAAAGGCATGTGCCGCCACCACCCAGCATATAATAAGATTTTTTAACCACCCCCAAAAAAACAATCTGTGCCCTGACTGCTAACTCCTCTTTTGTGCACTCCTAAATCTCTACATATCTTAAGCCTTTTTTCTTCTCACGCTCACTCACTTCTGAGGCATCTCCACTGTTCATTCCTGTATTACTTTCTATGTGCTATACAGTTTACTTACGTTTATTGTTCCAGGTCCATCACCCTTATTTGGAAGGTGGAATTTGTCTACTTCAATGATGTACCTCAAATACTTTTTTTGTTTGTTTTTTTGCTACAAGGTTTCTCTGTATTGTTTTGGAGCCTGTCCTGGAACTCACTCGGTAGACCAGGCTGGTCTCGAACTCACAGTGATCCACCTGCCTCTGCCTCCAGAATGCTGCGATTAAAGGTGTGTACCACCAATGTCCGGCATACCTAAAATACTTAAAACTGTACTTAGTACACACAGCATCACCTCAAAAACCATTGTTGGATGTGTAAGCAGAAAACACAGAAGCACTGCACTTTTGAATAGCAATATTGAGTTACAAACAAATATGGTATTGCTTTTTAAATTCTTGAATAAAATGATTATATAGATCAAACTATGCTGGAAGTGCTAAGAACAAAGTAATGATGCAACGTTTTGAAATGCTACCTTTTCTACATATGTTCTCAGGAAACTGGACAAGCTCTTCAAATTCAAGGGAATGAAGCAAGAAGGAACAGGCATTGCCGCAAACAGAGCCTGAAATAAATTCAGTGCAGTAAAGGGAGCTCTAACAATGACAACTTAGACTAGGAAGGCAATATCCTACAGTGGGCAGCCTACAAGTGACTTGAACATTTAGAAAAGGAGTGAGGGGTGTGGTGACAATTAACTAAAGCACAGAAAATAATGTAAAGCTTAAAACAAAAAGAGGGCATTAACTGTAAGAAATACAACTTTAATAGTGCAAGAGAAAATCAAAATCTACTATATAGATCCAATTATAAGCAACCTGTCCAGTCACACATACAGAGAGAGAGAGAGAGAGAGAGAGAGAGAGAGAGAGAGAGAGAGAGAGAGAGAGAGAGAGAGAGAGAGAGAGAGAGAGCGAGCGCTGGGAAGAGTAAGTGGGGAGGGGGAACACCTCAGCTCCCCCCATCCACAACAGGAAACCAACAGACAAAAAATTATCAGCTGAGCTGCTGTCCCTGAAAAAGTAGGGGGAGTCATCCTTCTTAAAAACTTTATAGAGAGCTGGAGAAATGGTTCAGGGTTAAGAGCACTGGCTGTTCATTCTAGGAATCTGGGTTCCGAGCACCCACATAGCAGTTCAAACTGTATCTCAAGATCCAGAGGATCCAATGCCCTCTTCTGGTCTCCTTAGGCACTAGATATGCACACAGGCAAAATACCAGGCACATGAAATTAAAAAAAACAAACAAACAAAATCCCAGCACAGGGCTGTTACAGGCTTCCATGAAGCTCAGTGACAGAACATTTGCCTGACATTTAACCTAACACAACAAAACTCTTGAGAAGTTAAGCAGAATGGCTCACACTTGCAGTCTCAGTGATGGGAAGCAGAGACAGGTTGAATTTCTGTAAGGAGTACGAAGTGAGTTTCAATCAGAGCTACATGATGAGACCCCGTCTCACAACAAAACAGAAACACAAAAAAACCTTGTGAATTTTACAC